CTCCTTCGCCAATAGCCACGCGCGCGCGCTCGCACGCGTATACAGACGGCCGCGTGTGCACGGCTTCCCGGGCTGTAGCTATTGCGCATCAGCGGGTTGATACGCCCCGGAGCGAGGAGAGAGAGAGAGAGGCAGGAATCGCAGCAACATTACCAACAATGTTGGGGGGTAATACCGAAGATAAGACGATGATAATCGTTTACTGTAGGTTCTCGCGTGTGTGTGGGTGTACGTGTGTGTGCGTGTGTGTGTGTGCGTGTGTATACACGAGGTTGCATAGAATAATCGCTCGCACACGCGCACGCACTCTCGCTCTCTCGCTCTCTCTCTCACCACGCGTCCCCCTTACCCCGCAACTCTCCTCGCGCAGCCCCAGCGGCCGCAACGCAACGGCGCCATCCCCGCTGCGCCTCTCCCCCTTCCGCAGAACCACCCCGCGATCGCCACGGGGCCGAGGCGGAGGCCAGATGGGGGCCGAGGGCACCGCAGCCGCAGCCGCCGCCTCAAATCCGGCCACGATTCGCGAGGATGGAGGAGAAAATGGGAAAAGGCTGCGTGCCATATGCGCGGTTCCGAGGGAGGCACATTTGTGCTTAGCCCTCTCACTCTTAGCGTTCGCTGGTAATGCAGATGTATGTAAAGCGTGGAAATCGATAGCGCTGTCAATAGTATTGCTCGGGAAATATCGGATCTCATCGAGGCAGGCGCTGCTTTATCTATACGCGATCAATTTCCCTTCCTGTTGACACAGCCACTCCAGCCAAAACAACACGCGTTTCCCAGGTTGTTGTTGGGTTTTTTTTTTACATTTTGTACACAAGATGCTAATCGGCGTCTCTCGCCGCGCGTTACGGGACAGGCACAGGAAATGGATGCGAGGAGAGACCGGGACCGGGACACGTGCGATAGTGCACCCCTTTTTTCGTCGAGCACCGCTCGATTCCGGGAGATCAACATCGCAGACTCGCACACGAAGACAAAGAGTCACGCGTGGAGCCTCAACAGAGACTGTCGAGTGAAGTTCGCGAGTAGCACCACCTATGAAGGCCAACACGGCACACGAGAGGGTGGGTGGCCAGCACCACGCCCGGCTGCTTTTGTATCCCGAGTGGCGATGCTTACAGACCGCACCAGGTACTTATTTGAGGCTGAGTCGACCTAGGGCAGGCCCCGGGCCGGTTGAGACAAGCGTCACTCGTGCTTTTGGCTGCACACGGCAATCGAACTCGGGTGGCCGGGTTCGGAGCGCGAACCGCTACACCACCGCGCCCCCCCCCCCCCCCCACACACTCACACGCCACTCGACCCGTCCTGATGTTTTCTTAGAAGAAGGAAATCAGCGCTGGCATTGGCTACGAGGCGCTGTGAGGGCCGCTCGGTGTCCTCGTGAAGCTGACCGCGTTGCGCACGGCGGCTCGCGGGCTTCCTGATGCGTCACGACGCGCAGCTGCCACCGCCGCGACTCCCGGCGACTCTCCGTCAAAGGGAGCCGTTGGGAGAGGCGTGGTGCACTCGCGTTTACGCCAAATTGCGTGACAGAGGACACACAGTGGGCCCGCCGTGTTTGCGTGTGGCACGCGGGCCCTTCACCGCGTGTACAGAGAGAGCGGGGAGGGGGGTAAGTCCAATCTATCACAAAATGTGGTCGCTAGCAAGTGACCACTCGCTCTCTTCGGAACGAGTCCGCCGCGTGATACACGAGTGGCCCCGGTGATTGACTTAAGCGGCAGATCTTCGCTTGCGTGATTGCCGCTCTTTCCTGCATGAGGTGCTCACGAATGGCAACTTGCCCCCGACAGTATTGTGTGTCCTGGTACCAATGAACACACGTGCCACCGTTCTGTGTACCATTCCGCACACAAAGACAGACGGTTGGGGCAAGTGCTGTTAGCGAGTGACACCTACGAAGGCTGGCACGGCACACGAGGGGGTGGGTTCGGCCAGTACGACGCCCGGCCGCCTTTGTCTCCCTAGCGGCGATGTTAACCGTACACCGCACCAGGTACTCATTGAGGCAGAGTTGACCCGAGTCTACACAAACATCAATGGTCATTCTCCCGTGTTGTTTTCCCATGAAGCGTATCGCTCTACTAAGCATCACTTTGATAAGCGCGGCATCCCGGCCACCGCTTTGTTAAAAAAAAAACCCTCGAAGTTTATTTTTCTTCCCTCCATCCTCCCTTTCCTATTGTCAGCCCCCCCCCCCCCCAACCGCCACCATCCAAAAAAATGTGTTAAGGTCTCTTGAAAGAGAAAGGCCACTCGCCTCTTCTTTTCACACGGCGTGAAAGCGCTGCACCCTGGGTTGAAGTGGCCTCTCCACGCTCGCCCCCTCGAGCGGCGGTTCCGGGACCGTAGCGCAGTTGATCAAATAGGCTAATTGGAGATTATGTAAACAACACCCATCGCCCTGCTCAAGGCCGGACGCATCCACGACGAAGAGCGCGGGATCGCTCCTATCAAAGACGACCGGTCCAGCGTCTTGCAGCGAGATTAAATCGTAACACGCGCCCCCCGGCCCGCTCCTCTCTCTCTCTCTGTGCGGACCACGGCGGCGCGAGTTGTTTAGCAGGCGAGAGAGACAGAACATCTCTCGCTTTTGTTTGCGCGATGCTCGTCTCTCCGTCCCTTCATGCTAAGCCCGAGATGGACGTCGACCACCGCAGCGCTCGCTCCGACCGCGCCTCGCCGCCCGCCGCCACGCGAGCACGAGGAAACGCGCTGGGCCTAGAGAGGCCGGAGCTCCAAGTGCTGTTAGCGAGCACCTATTATGGCTCAATTGGTACACGATGGGGTAGGGTGTGACCGTCATCGTCATCGCCGCCACCACCACCACAACGCCAGGGCTGCCTTTGTCCCCAGACCCCCGGTCGCCACCACCACCACCTAGTGCTGATGTTTTACAAACCACCACCACCTAGTGCTGATGTTTTACAAACCGCAGCTGCTACCAATTTTCAAGGCTGAGTCGACCTGCTCAAGAGGACATCCGCGTGGCACAGATTCGGAGACCGCTTGCCACTCACTTTATCCATGGACGGGAATCCAACCCATGTCACTGGGAATCGCTCCGTCTCACACGCACGCGCGCACACAGATGGACGAATCTGCTGCTGCTCCTCCAGCCGTTGTTGTTGTAGGGAATTCATGTGCGTGTCTGCATCTGTCTCGCGCGCGCACACAGCCGTGTGCAGCAGGATGCGTGCACAAAGGGCTGCTTAGCCGCCGCTACAGCCCCCCTCTACGCCAGCCGTGGCCCTTATAACCGCTCCACTACAGAAGGCATCGATTCTAAGTGGCTGACAAGCAACATCTGCTAAATACCAAAAATCAATATTAATAGAATATGTACTGGCTGGGGCTAAATGTGTGCCATCAAAGTTTATAATTAACCAAATTACAGCAATAGTCCTCAGCACGGACCTCTCTCTCTCACACACACACACGCGCGCACACTCTCCCTGTGAATAAGCCCACGTATATGGATCATTGGTGACGACTCTTAAACACGGGGCGCAGAGGTTACGGGAGAGTCAGAGTTCGACACGTCAATAGCGTCGCACGCGCGTGCACGCAATGGGGTTTGGCTGCGCACGGATAGACCGTGAACGCACGGGGAGTGCGACACGGACGACAGACGAGGTACGGAGAGCGAAAGAGAGGGCAGTGCGTCAAGTAGGTAGTTTAACACGGGGTTAGACATTGAGACTGAGATACGACAGTGCAAGTGAAACGGGAGCGAAGTGTTAAATTCGGCTGGAGATGGTGACAGATTTTTTTTTAAATATGTATTTTTTTGTTTTGCTGTTTGAGTGAAAGGGGAAAAAAATGCGTTGTGTAGGACTAAACAAAGTGCGTTCCCAATCGTTGAGTGTTGACCTTTCAAAGCAGAGGGTTTTATTCGATAAAAAAACATGCACTTGATAGTGAGAGGGACAGGAGGATGTCAAGACAACGGTGCCATGTTACAGGGACCACACTTGGGCCATGTGTGTACAAAGCCTTCTTCATTTGTATTATTATTTATTTTTTATGTTAGTTGCTTTTATTATTACAAAGTATTATTTTACAGAACGCGGAACGCTCGAGCGAAATGCGTTCACGATAACAAACAAATGAACAACACCAACAAAAATCCTCAACAAAAAAATCACGAAAAATCAAAACGCCACCCAAAAACATATCAAAAATCTCAGTTTTTGGCCTCACGTGCCCCCCACCCTCCCATCCACCCCCCCCCCCTTTCAGAGATATATAATAAACATCTCCCCCCCACCACCACGAGCACCACCACCACCACCAACCACCACCCCCCCCCCCTTGTCCTTCTATAGAGCAGCAGCACCCGGAAGTCTCCATCACAATCCGTGTGTGCACGCTGACGTCAGGCCGTCCGAGGCGGTGCGCAGTGCGCGACCACGCAGCTCACAATCTGCCGCGGCTGCTCTCGCCCACGGCGGCTGCGCTGCTGCTGCTGCCGCCGTCGCCGCCACCGCCGCTGCTGCTGCTGCTGCCGCTGAGCGGGCATGGCTCACACGGCCGCATCATCATCATCATCGTCGTCGTCGTCGTCATCGTCGTGCTGCTCCTCCTCCGGCTCCCGCTGCTCCTGCCGTCGCCTCTTCTTCTTCTTCTTCTGCTCCGGCTCCTGCTGCCCCCGCTCCGCCTCGCTGCTCCACTGCTGCTACCGCTGCTGCTCAGACTGCCAGCAGGAGCGGCGCTACTGACGGGCGGACGCGTTCCCCGTGTGCCACAGCGACGACATTAAAACAGCGGCGGCGGCGGCAGCCACCGAAGAAGCGGTAGCAGCAGTAGCAGCAGGAGGAGGAGTAAAACGCGCGACGACTGCCGTGACCGACCGAGCTGCATCCGATACAAATAAAAAATAACAAACCAAAAAACGCGGCGGCGGCGACGGACGCGCGCACGCACGCGAGGTGGGGCGGGTTTGTCTTGTGCTGTGTGGGGGGGGGGGGGGGTGGTGGGGGGGGGGGCAGAGAGTGGGGGGGAGTGGTGGTGGTGGTGGTGGGGAGGAAGAGGGAGAGAGGGAGACAGACAGACCGAGACAGCAGCAAGAGCCACGGAGAAACAAGACAAGAAGAACAAGACGAGGAAATTACAGCAACAACAACAACAAGAACAAGTGAATAGTGCCCGGCGAGACGAGATAGATGTGTAATCAGGCCGCTCTTAGGCGGAATGAATCCAGAGCTGACGATGGAAAATATGGGAGATCTGCACGGCGCGAATCATGAACAAGTGCAGCAGCAGCAGCAAAACGACCTCATGAGCACCCACAGCCCACACCTTCGCCACCCGCACTACGAGATCCAGACGCACTCACGGCCGTCGATGGTGTCCAACATGACCTCCATTCTGGACGGCGGCGACTACCGAGCGGACCACTCGCTGGCCGGCTCCCTGCACCCGGCCATCACCATGACCTGTGACTCGCCGACCGGCATGAGCATGAGCAGCACCTACACGACGCTCACGCCGCTGCAGCCGCTGCCTCCCATCTCGACCGTGTCGGATAAATTCCACCATCACCACCACCATCACCACCACCACCAGCGCCTCGCGGGCAACGTCAGTGGCAGCTTCACGCTCATGCGGGACGAGCGGGCGCTGTCCACGGTCAACAGCCTGTACAGCCCCTACCACAAAGAGATGTCGGGCATGGGCCAGGGGCTGTCCTCCCTCTCGTGCTCCACGCTCACCAACGGCCTGAGCGCGATCCATAACTCGCAGCAGGGCCTCGCCACCTACGGACACCACCACCACCATCACCACGGGCCCATGGGCAACGACAAAATGCTCGCCGCGGCCGCTGCTGCCGCGGCGCACAACGGCTTCGACGCGCACTCGGCGATGTTGGCACGCGGCGGCGGCGAGCAGCACTTGGGCCGCGGTCTCACGCCCCCGTCGGCCGCGGGGATGATGCCCTCCCTCAACGGCATGCACCCGCAAGCTCACCACCCTCACCACCCGCACCACCCGCCCCACCACGGCCAGCAGCAGCCCCACGGCGGCGGCGGAGCGATGCTCCACGCCGGAGGGGGGTGCCGCGAGCGGGGGGTGGCGGCCGGGCTCGTGGCGCAGTCGGCGGGGGGCCCGCACGGCGCGGGGCCCCCCGGGGCCGCGCAGGCCGAGGAGATCAACACGAGGGAGGTGGCGCAGCGGATCAGCACGGAGCTGAAGCGGTACAGCATCCCGCAGGCTATCTTTGCGCAGCGCGTACTGTGCCGCTCACAGGGCACGCTGTCCGACTTGCTGCGCAACCCCAAGCCGTGGAGTAAGCTCAAGTCGGGCCGTGAGACCTTCCGTCGCATGTGGAAGTGGCTCCAGGAGCCCGAGTTCCAACGCATGTCGGCTCTGCGGCTGGCCGGTAAGGTCCCCTGCAAGCCAGCACTGTCTGCCGCCTACAATGCGACATCATCGGCACTTAGTAAGCACCGTTTGCTTATTACACGCGCACAGGCGAGCGGGCGGTCGTGCGGTTCGGGTGCGTGTTGTCTTTGTCTGTGCATCGGTCTGTCTGTGTATCTGTTTGTCTCTGCATCTGTCTGTTTCGGTCTGTCTGTGTATCTGTTTGTATGTGTGTCGGTCTGCCTGCTTGCATGTGTGTTGTGTGTGTTGCCTCTGTCCGTGTGTGTCTGCGTGTCTGTGTGCGAGTGCGCGCGTATCGTGTGTGGCCGTGTAGCTCCACGCATTGTTGTTGCTGCTGGATGCGTGCGTCCGTGCTCACAATAATGAGCTTGTCTGTTGTGCACTCTTCCGGACCCTACAATGCGTGGCACTGTTGGCGTGAGTGTCGCTGTGCCTGGCAAGTACCCCGTGCCGTGTGAGTGTGTGAGCGTGCATGCCTTTCCAAGCTCCGCGCTGTGTCATTGTCTTGTCTGTGAGTGAGAGCCCCTTTCATGAACTGCTTTGTGCTCCGTGTTTCGTGGCTTCGAATGCGTCGCATGCATTGCGGCGCGCCCGCGTGTCGGAGCAATGCGCATCGTGTTGTCAATGCGCGTGCGTACGATCGCTGTGTGTGTCTGAGCCCATATGTGGCACTGTGTGTCCCTGGGTGAGTCTGTGTGTGGTGAGGCTACACGGGGTATCTTTGTCTTTAGTGAGGGGGGGGGGGGGTGGCGCGCTGCGGTATGAAACCCATTGACCCGAGTTCGATTCCCGCTCACGGCCAACACCAGTGACGATTATCTGAACCGGTCCTGGGCCTCCCTTAGAGCGTTAGAGCGCCACTGGGGGAGACAAAGGCGGCCGGGCGTGGTGCTAGCCACCCCTTACCCCCTCGTGTGCAGCGTCGGCCTTCATAAGTGCTCGCTAACAGCGCTTGACTCAAGAGTCTGATAAGCCTATACGGGAGATCTTTGTCTTGCCGTGTGTGTTCTTTGTGTTCTTTGTGTTGCACCGTCTGTGCATTTGCCGCTGTGTGGGTTGCTGTGAGTGCGAAGTGCATCTGTGGTAGTGCGACGTGGAGTTGCTGCTGTCTTTGTGCATCTTTGTGACGCGTGCGATGTGTGTGTGTGTGTTAAGTGGTGTCGTTTTGGTGTCATCTATATCCGGGCAAAGTGTGTGGTATGCGCTTGGTGCCATTGCGTCGTCGGTACTGTGGTGTGCGTTAGGGTGGCGTGTGCTAGTGAACGGCGTGTCAGTGTGTGAGTGTGTTGGCGTGTCCTTGTCATTGTGTCAGTGAGTGTGTGTGTGTGTTCGTGATGTGATTGTCTGTCAGCGTGATCGCGCGCGCGTGTGTGTCAGCGTGACGGTCATTAGTAGGATAAGTGTGCTGGTCCGTGCGATATACGGACGTGCGTGTGTGAGGATGATTGTGAGTGCGTTAATGATGCGGGGCTCGTGTATAGCGGGCGCGTGCGTGTGTGTGGTGGTGTCTGTGTGTGTGTGGTGGTGTCTGTGTGTGTGGTGGTGTCTGTGTGTGTGTGGTGGTGTCTGTGTGTGTGTGCTGTCTGTGTGTGTGGTGTCTGTGGTGTGTGTGTGGTGTCTGTGTGTGTGGTGTCTGTAGTGTGTGTGTGGTGGTGTCTGTGTGTGTGTGTGGTGTCTGTGTGTGTGGTGTCTGTGTGTGTGGTGTCTCTGTCTGTGTGGTGGTGTCTGTGTGTGTAGTGGTGTCTGTGGTGTTTGTGTGTGTGTGTGTGCTGTCTGTGTGTTTGTGCTGGTGTATGTGTGTGTGTGGTGTCTGTGTGTGTGTGGTGTCTGTGTGTGTGTGGTGTCTGTGGTGTGTGTGTGGTGTCTGTGGTGTGTGTGTGGTGGTGTATGTGTGTGTGTGTGGTGTCTGTGTGTGTCTGTGGTGTCTGTGGTGTGTGTGTGGTGTCTGTGTGTGTGTGGTGTCTGTGTGTGTGGTATCTCTGTCTGTGTGGTGGTGTCTGTGTGTGTAGTGGTGTCTGTGGTGTCTGTGTGTGTGTGGTGTCTATGTGTGTGGTGTCTGTGTGTGTGGTATCTGTGTGTTTGTGGTGGTGTCTGTGTGGTGTCTGTGTGTGTGTGTGGTGTCTGTGTGGTGTCCGTGTGGTGTCTGTATGTGGTGGTGTTTATGTCTGTGTAGTGGTGTCTGTGTCTGTGTGTGTGGTGTCTCTGTCTGTGTGGTGGTGGTGTCTCTGTCTGTGTAGTGGTGGTGTCTGTGTGTGGTGGTGTCTCTGTCTGTGTGGTGGTGTCTCTGTCTGTGTGGTGGTGTCTCTGTGTGTGTGGTGGTGTATGTGTGGTGGTGTCTCTGTCTGTGTGGTGGTGTCTCTGTCTGTGTGGTGGTGTGTGTGTGTGTGTGGTGGTGTCTGTGTATGTGTGGTGGTGTCTCTGTCTGTGTAGTGGTGCCTATCTGTGTGGTGGTGTCTGTGTAGTGGTGTCTTTGTGTGGTGGTGTCTCTGTCTGTGTGGTGGTGTCTCTGTGTGTGTGGTGGTGTCTCTGTGTGTGTGGTGTCTGTGTGTGTGTGGTGGTGTATCTGTCTGTGTGGTGGTGTCTCTGTCTGTGTGGTGGTGTCTCTGTGTGTGTGGTGGTGTCTCTGTGTGTGTGTGTGGTGTCTCTGTCTGTGTGGTGGTGTCTGTGTGTGTGTGGTGGTGTCTCTGTGTGGTGTCTGTGTGGTGTCTGTGGTGTCTGTGTGGTGGTGTCTGTGTGTGTGTGTGTGGTGGTGTCTCTGTCTGTGTGGTGATGTCTCTGTCTGTGTGGTGGTGTCTCTGTCTGTGTTGTGGTGTCTCTGTCTGTGTGGTGGTGTCTCTGTGTGTGTGGTGGTGTCTGTGTGTGTGTGATGGTGTCTGTGTGTGTGGTGGTGTCTGTGTGGGTGTGGTGGTGTCTGTGTGTGTGTGGTGGTGTCTCTGTGTGTGTGATGGTGTCTCTGTGTGTGTGGTGGTGTCTCTGTCTGTGTGGTGCTGTGTGTGGTGGTGTCTCTGTGTGTGTGGTGGTGTCTCTGTGTGTGTGGTGGTGTCTCTGTCTGTGTGGTGGTGTCTGTGTGTGTGTGTGGTGTCACTGTCTGTGTGGTGGTGTCTGTGTGTGTGGTGGTGTCTGTGTGTGTGTGGTGATGTCTCTGTCTGTGTGGTGGTGTCTCTGTATGTGTGATGGTGTCTCTGTGTGTGTGGTGGTGTCTCTGTCTGTGTGGTGGTGTCTGTGTGTGTGTGGTAGTGTCTCTGTCTGTGTGGTGGTGTCTCTGTGTGTGTGGTGTCTCTGTCTGTGTGGTGGTGCCTCTGTGTGTGTGGTGGTGTCTCTGTCTGTGTGGTGGTGTCTCTGTCTGTCTGGTGGTGTCTCTGTCTGTCTGGTGGTGTCTGTGTGTGTGTGTGGTGTCTGTGTGTGTGGTGGTGTCTCTGTGTGCGTGGTGTCTCTGTGTGTGTGGTGTTTGTGTGTGTGGTGGTGTCTCTGTCTGTGTGGTGGTGTCTCTGTCTGTGTGGTGGTGTCTGTGTGTGTGGTGGTGTCTCTCTCTGTGTGGTGGTGTCTCTGTGTGTGTGGTGGTGTCTCTGTGTGTGTGGTGGTGTCTCTGTGTGTGTGGTGGTGTCTCTGTGTGTGTGGTGGTGTCTCTGTCTGTGTGGTGGTGTCTCTGTGTGTGTGGTGGTGTCTCTGTGTGTGGTGGTGTCTCTGTGTGTGTGGCGGTGTCTCTGTGTGTGTGGTGGTGTCTCTGTGTGTGTGGTGGTGTCTCTGTGTGTGTGGCGGTGTCTCTGTGTGTGTGGTCGTGTCTGATTTATCGCGGCTGGCGGCGGACGAAAATGGTCGTGGAGGTTGCGAGGGCTGCGCCGTGCGCGCGCTCTCGTGGCCGTGACGGCGTCGCGTTTTGTTGTCTTTTGCCGACTGCCGCCGTGACTTATCGATTTTATTTAAATCGTTGTTTTGAGGTCCCGACAGACGCTGCATTCCCCCCCCCCCCCCCCTCTGTAATCGGTGTTTCCCGCTGCATTGTGCGACCCGTCCACGCCATCGCGGTGACAACTTCGTGATGAGCACGCAGTGCGGCTAATGTCGTGGACTGTTCTCTAACGTGGGGGCCCTCGTGCTGAGCAATGTTCACGTGGTGGGGGAGCTGTCCAGTGTCCCCACCCTTAGGTCCCTTCTGACCCCTGGACCCCCTCCACCCCACACCGGGAGCAGCTCCCACTGCACCCCCTGCACACTCAGTAGCGACGCCGATGCCAGGGTGCAAGCGTGCGCGCGCGCGCGCGCGTGTGTGTGTGATTGTGTGTGTGTGAATGTCTATTACACCTGTGTGTGTGTGTGCAGGTACAGCAACGCGCGTTGTGTGTCTGCAGGTGTGTGCGTGGCGATTGCGTGATGATTGTACGTGGTGGGGTGCCGTGAGTGAACCGCGTTGGTAAACGCACGGATGCAAAGATGTGGCTCGCGTGTTCCGTGCGCATATTACGCGCGGTGCACAAAACGTGACACTTCAAATGCACCGCGCGTATACTGTGTGTGATGATGCAGCAACGTGTCATTGCACACACACACAGCTTGTAGTTAGCACACAAAGAAACCCGCAGAGAGAGAGAGAGAGAGCGCGCCAGTGCGTTGTCGCGTAACGAGCGAGTTCATCTCTGAGACGATGAGCACTCGGCGCAGGGCGAATTCATCGACGAAAGGGGTCACGAAGACAAACTTTCAAACTTCGAGTCTGGGCCCGCCGTCCCCTCCCGTGATTGGCTCCTTATTGATTGGCTCTGTGACATCACGAGGCATATGCTAATTGCCGCCACTGTACATCGCCTCCCTGATTGAGATCAAAGCCGCGCGGCTCGCAGCTCCTCGCCGGGGCTGACGAGGAGCGGCCGCCCGACCGCCGTGGCGCGCCTCGAGACGGCGACGTTTCGCACCAAGCAGCAGCAGCAGCAGCTCGCTGACCCCCCACCCCACCAGCTCCGCGCTGTGTGTTGTCTGCCGGCGGGGGTTGCTCGCGCGATAAGCCAAGGCAGAGCCCTAAATGCGTCCTTACCGACCCACGTGACCTCGCACGATTTAGCA